GTCCTCTTACTACTTCCCTCCATTGGTCCTCTTACTACCTCCCTCCATTGGTCCTCTTACTACTTCCCTCCAGTGGTCCTCTTACTACCTCCCTCCATTGGTCCTCTTACTACTTCCCTCCATTGGTCCCTTACTACCTCCCTCCAGTGATTCCCTTACTACTTCCCTCCAGTGATTCCCTTACTACTTCCCTCCAGTGATTCCCTTACTACTTCCCTCCAGTGATTCCCTTACTACTTCCCTCCAGTGATTCCCTTACTACTTCCCTCCATTCCCTTACTACTTCCCTCCATTGGTCCTTACTACTACTTCCCTCCAGTGATTCCCTTACTACTTCCCTCCAGTTCCCTTACTACTTCCCTCCATTGATTCCCTTACTACTTCCCCTCTTACTACTTCCCTACTTACTACTTCCTCCATTGAATCCCTTACTACTTCCCTCCAGTGATTCCCTTACTACTTCCCTCCTGTGATTCCCCATACTACTTCCCTCCATTGAATCCCTTACTACTTCCTCCAGTGATTCCTTACTTTCCTCCATTGAATCCTTACTACTTCCCTCCAGTGATTCCCTTACTACTTCCCTCCATTGAATCCTTACTACGTCCCTCCAGTGATTCCCTTACTACTTCCCTCCTGTGATTCCCTTACTACTTCCCTCCATTGAATCCCTTACTACTTCCCTCCAGTGATTCCTTACTACTTCCCTCCTGTGATTCCCTTACTACTTCCTCCAGTGATTCCCTTACTACTTCCCTCCATTGGTCCTCTTACTACTTCCCTCCATTGGTCCTCTTACTACTTCCCTCCAGTGATTCCCTTACTACTTCCCTCCAGTGGTCCTCTTACTACTTCCCTCCATTGAATCCCTTACTACTTCCCTCCAGTGATTCCCTTACTACTTCCCTCCTGTGATTCCCATACTACTTCCCTCCATTGAATCCCTTACTACTTCCCTCCAGTGATTCCCTTACTACTTCCCTCCATTGAATCCCTTACTACTTCCCTCCAGTGATTCCCTTACTACTTCCCTCCTGTGATTCCCTTACTACTTCCCTCCATTGAATCCCTTACTACTTCCCTCCAGTGATTCCCTTACTACTTCCCTCCAGTGGTCCTCTTACTACTTCCCTCCAGTGATCCCCTTATGACAAAATATACAGTACAGTACAGTACCTGTACTAAATTAAAGTACTCTACTGTGTGCCTGTCCAGGATAAAAGTCTGTATAAGTGAAGATGTTAAGAACTGAGGATCAGTCTTATGGTTATTGTCTCATAAATATAAAATTACTGATAAATTTAGTGAATATTAATTTTCGATCGTTTAATATGATGTGGCTGGAAATGTGTAAATACTCTCTTCATTCGTTATTACCCACAGCATTCACTCCTATAAGAGATGTGTTCTTCCAAAGTTGGGTGTATCTTATCGCTTCATACAATCTAACAAAACGTCCCTCCTGAAATATAACTATGCTGTACTGTGCTTCATATTTACATGCACACACTTGCTTTCAGGATGTCCATTTCCCCCACTTTTATTTCAGCCCTCGCCTTATCCTTCCATCTGGGATATCCCCTCTCCCTACTTCTGTACTATGCTTCTACTCATCACTGGAACAGACCCTCTTCCTTATTTATGTTTTTCCTGTTCCTACTATCATGAACATTGTTCTCACACATGCTCTTCATTCTCGTCTATACAGTAATGTTGATTCAATAATTATCGTTGTACATCTCAATTATTGCCATTTTTATATGGAACTCTGCATACATTTAAATATTCCCACAATGTTCCTCAAAATGCTCAGACCAAATATAACTTTCTCAAAATAAGTACAGTAAAGTATCACAATAGATCAACATTAATGTAAAAGGATATCCATGAAATAGAAACATATTTTTTTATTCTATCTTAATGCAAACACATTCTATTATACATTAATGTACAGATTAAATAAATTATAAACTTTTGTTATTTTTGTTTTAGGTGCGTGAGGCCAAGAGTGCCAAGCCTCGTACCTAGTGAAGCAAACATGGCGGACTTGGAGTGTAAAGAACCATTTGACAGTCCAGGAAACAACTGGCTGAGCCCTTGGTAACACATTTAATAACAATATTATATCAGATATATAATAATTATAATGCCAAGTGCTTATTATATATAATATTGTGGCGAGATAAAACGAATTTAATGGTTAATTTAGTAGATTATGTTGGGTCGTCGTCAACACAGGTGTGGGGTCATCAAGCACAGGTAGTGGAGTCGTCAAGCACAGGTGGACATACTGTATCGTGTTATTTATTATCCTCTATAACAAAAGTCATGATAACTAACCATATTTCTGTTGTTTATTACACAAGAAAAAGATTCCTAGGTGAATTTTTACTTTCTGACAAAAGGAAGGTTAATCCATTGACTGTCCGCAGGCCATGTTTACCTGAGGTTATACTCCTCACTAAGCCCGTGTTTTCTCTTCATTTCCCTATAAGTTAGGTTAAGTTTGGTGGGTTGGCTTTTTTGGTATAAGAATAAGTTTTCTTTCGTGTGTACTTTTGGTGTTTGACTCAAATCTGACCTTCATTTTTGTGCATATATAAACTACTAATAATAATATACACAGGTACTGCAGCTGATTGTTAGCACCAAGGTGCACACTACTCTTGTTAGGTAAATGAGATCCTTCCCAGGGATTCATACCTGGACTATTTCTGTGTCCAGTATCATTAGGTAGCGACCGTGAGCTATATGTAAAGCGGCAATAAATTGACCAACCGGCAATAGTTGTGCATCTACATGACTAGACCTGCATTCACTGAATCGGCTATGAGCCGATCATTGGTAACAGTGAAAGCTTGCACAGAGGCTTCAGTTGCATGCATGTTAGTTGATTACTTTTTTTTACTGCTGTTTAAGACGTTCATTCGTTTCCCTAGTTTAGCTACATCTTCTGCAGTTGCCGTACCAAATAGGGTGTTACTTAATAACTCGACAAAATTAAATAGACCACGGTTTTTATGAGAATGAACATTGTTCCTGACGTCTTCAGGAGTCGTGGGCAGCTTTCCCTCCAAGTGCATACACATTTGAGTAGACGCTTCATATAGGCGTTATGAAGTGAGATGGTAGACTGTTGTTTGAGATCTTGTGTACTTATAGCTGTTTCAATGTGGACAGCTATTGACCTCAGGCATATATCACTAAACTTTGGTGCTGGTACTTGACAGTTACGACATCTTCCACTATAAGTACTTTGCTCAGTGGGGCAACTAAAGCTTTGGATTTGATGATGTTTGCTGGGGATGCAGCTGTTGCCACAGCGTTCCATGCCAACAGGAGTAGCGATATCCAAGCCATGCCTGAAAGGGGTGAGGATAATTAATGTTTTTTGTTTGCTGATCACAGTTTTTGATGATATTTATTGTCTATTGTTGTGATGTATTGTTTATTGTTGTGTTGAGCAACTGTCGTAGTAGAAGTAGGCTGTAATTAACGGACATTAGGGGTCCCTACTAAGTGTCTGCTAACTTTTATCATTCTATCTACATGAACTATGTCAGTGACATTTGTCGTTGGGTCAACTACATGAAATTTGTTTCCATGTTCTTTTCCTTTAATCAGGTAGGGACCTGTGAATTTAGGCAAAAGTTTTGATGTACGTTCCGGTGCTTTTGTCGTTACTGCGTCTCCTATTTTTGGAGTTACAGGCTTGGGTTTTTATGTTGCTTGCAGATCATTTCAGCACGTGAGGCTGTTAAATGCTTTTGTACTTTTTCATGAATGCTGTGAAAACATTGATTTGCTTCTTGGCATGGTCATCCATGTTGCATACAGGTTGTGGGGTTCCTGCTAGTTGATCATAGAGCAAGCATCTTTTGGCACCATAAATTATGTAGTATGGCTATTTTCCTGAAAAGCTATTGATAGATCCATTGATGGATTCTGCTACTTGTGGAAGCCAGTCCTTCCAGGAACTGTGCATCGGATTCACCACGTGTCGAAGAATCTAAAGAATTTTACAATTTGTACGCTTGACGAACCCATTTGAGGATGGATGCAGATTTTGCAAAAAGGTGCCTTTTTGGGTTTGGTTCCTGTGGTAGGGTTGTCCCTTAGAACTGGTTATGGGCGCT